CCCCAGGTTGATGCCCCCTCCTTGGCAGCCCACCGCCTGCCTCTGCCACGGCCACTGGAGGAGCTGTACGAGACCTACCTGCAGGAGCTGGCTGGGGACCTCGGGAACATCAGCACCCTCGAGGGAGGGGGGGGGGGGGCCCCCCCCCCCCCTCCCGCATCGGCTCCTTCAAGAGGGTGGTGCGGGTGAGCGCGGGGACCCCGAGCCTCCCGTTCCCCACCCGGTGTGTCCCAGCACACACCGAGGAGGGGGGCTGCCGCTCCCTGCCCCCTAACCCCGCCCTGCCCCACGCCAGGATTACCGCACCCCCGAGATCAGCCTGTTTGCCGAGGAGAACGGCGAGGGAGCCCGGCTCAAGTTCAGCGGCTCTGCCGAGGACACGCGCACGCGGGGACAGCCCCTCGCTGCTGCCTCCATCATCGTCCACTCGGGCCTGTGAGCGGGACCCCCAGGGCTGGGTGGGTGCCAGAAGGGGGGCTCTGGAGGATTACCGCACCCCCGAGATCAGCCTGTTTGCCGAGGAGAACGGCGAGGGAGCCCGGCTCAAGTTCAGCGGCTCTGCCGAGGACACGCGCACGCGGGGACAGCCCCTCGCTGCTGCCTCCATCATCGTCCACTCGGGCCTGTGAGCGGGACCCCCAGGGCTGGGTGGGTGCCAGAAGGGGGGCTCTGGCATGGCCTGGAGTGGGGTGCAATTCTTTTCCCCCATCCTCTTCCCCAGGTGGCTGGTTTACTCCAAGCCTTTCTTCGATGATGATCCCTACGTTTTGGAGCCGGGCGGGTATCCCAATTTAAAGGCTTGGGGAGCAAAGGACCCATCCATCTGCTCCATGCACCCCATCAGGCTGGTGAGTGACAGTTATGGGGGTGCTGGGGCCAGACCCAGCCCTGGGGGAGAGCATCTCCCTGCTGTTCCTGGTCCTGTGAGGGCTCGGTGTGGGAATGTGCCAAGGGTGGCACTGGGAAATGCTCCCAGGGGTTAGTAGTGGAAAGCAACAAAGTCCAAAAGAGCTTGTTCTTGAATGAAAATGACCTAAAAATCAGCTCAGGCTTTAAGGGCAAGGGGAGGATTGTGATGTCCCCACCCTGTCCACTCCAGCCACCACAGCCTCACTGGGGCTCTTTCTCCTTCCAGGGCTGCCCCGTTGTGGAGAGACCTGGAGAGCCACAGGTGAGACCCCGACCAGTGGCAGGGAAGCCAGGGGGCTGGGATGGCCATGGGACCACCCTCACCCTGCCCTGTCTCCAGGTGCTGATCTACGAGGCCACCGGTTTCCAGGGCCGCAGCTTCACCATCAGCAGAGACATCTATGACCTGAAGAGCCTGCCTGGGCCAGCACTGCCCACCGTGGGCTCCCTGCGTGTCCTGGGTGGCTGGTGAGCAGCGTGGGGTGAACAGTCCCAGCTGGAACAGGCTGGGAAGGTGATGGTTGGAAGGAGGAGCTTCCTGGAGCTGTGGGTTGGCTGCGGGAAGCCTAGGGGAGATGGTGGCACTGGAGAGGTGGGGATGGTGTCCCAAGGAGATGCTCTGGACATGTCAGTGTCTGCCTTTGCCTGTGCTGCAGCTGGGTCGGCTACGAGAAGGAGGGATTCCGTGGTCACCAGTACCTGCTGGAGGAGGGGGAGTACCAGGACTGGAGGCACTGGGGCGGCTACGGCGAGGAGTTGGTGTCCTTACGGCTGATACGGACGGTGAGGGCAGGGCTGGTGGCACCACCTGGGGACAGCCCCGGTGTGGGCAGGGAAAGCCAACCCCCTATTCCCACCCTCAACCCCTAAAAGGAACGTTAGGTGGCTGGGCCCGGCCTGAGATCCCCCAAACTCATCACATGCAGAGGTCTCAGTGCCCAGAGCTGCTCCCAGACCCCAGCTCTCTTTCCTTCCAACAGACTGAGGGGCTTTTGGGGGGTGTTTTCCATTTCCTGGCAGGACTTCTCCGACCCAGCACTGGTCCTGTTCGAGGCCATGGACTTCGAGGAGGGCCCGAGCGTGGAGCTGAGCGAGGCGCTGCCCGACACGCAGCTGGCCGGCTACG